TGGCTGGTGCAAGAGGACTGCCACTGCGGAGCAGGGTGTCCGTTCCCAGAGAGCAGGGGCCATCAGCTCCTGCCTGGCAGCCTGCATCACAGGGGCTCTTGGGGTTATTTCTCCTATTAATCTAGATTAATAGAGCTCTACAAATTATACAGTTAAAAAGAAAATAAATATGGGATTGCCTAGTGGTAGAATGTTTGTCTAACGTCCAGGCATCTGCATTTCTCCCCTGAGCATAATAAAAAATTATGCCTGTAAACGGGAAATAAACATGACAAGTCTTACTGTAAAGGAGGTCCAGGTAGGGAGATGTACTAATAAATTGTTATGTTAGTAAATACTCTAAGATATTTTAAAAATATATAGCTCATGTATGAAGTTTGAAAGTTGTTGCATTTGAGCGCTAGCTATGTGCTAGGCCGTGCCTGGAATTGTCAGCTGTGCCATTTGGTTCTCACAGTAACTCTGGGGGGTTGTTCTTACCTCCCATTTTGCATATGATGATGACCCATTTCAGGTTTGCTTTGCAGTTCCTTTATTTTTATTTTTTATTTTTTAGTGGTTCCAGGTATTGAACTCAGGGCCTTGCACTTGCCAGGCAAGCGCTTGTTCTACTGAGCTATCTCCTTGGCCCCATGATGACCCATTTCAGAGAATGAAAGTGATTTGGCCACCATGGTGAATGAGTAAGTGGCTGAGCCCGCCTGGGAGCCAGAGTGTTCTGTTCAGACCTTGCACTTTTTTCTTCTGCACTCTGCCGCTTCCGGTCTTAGCCGAAGGCTGGAAGGTGCTTCATTTCTACCGCTGCTACCTTTCTTTCTGCCTGCAGTGCTGGGGATCTAACCCAGGGCTGTGTGTGTGCTCGCTAGTACTGTACTGTGAGCGACATCCCTAGTCCTTGAAATAGACTTTATTATTATTATTTTTTGTATTTTACGGAAGAGTCTACAGGGTGTTCAGGGTCTCACTACTAGATTGGAATCATAATGATCTGCCTGTTTACAGCCTCCCAAGAGCTGGGATTACAGGCCTGCGCCACCACGCCTGTCTCAATCACCATCTCAGTGTGGCCTGGGGGCGGAGCTGCCACAGCAGGCCCAGGAATCGAACTCCCGGTCCCTACATGAAAGAGACTTTAGAAACCATTTAATACGCATATTTCGCAGAAGATCCTGGTACCCAAAGGATTGAAGGAGACTTGCTTGGTTAGTAGTGGGGTCATACGTAGAATTCAGTTTTCCTGAAAAAGTTGTTTAGCAACAAATTCTTACATTATGTTATACTAGTGTTTTCAATAATTTAGTCCATATAGGCCACACCTTAAAATCATGTAGGTGTGTGAACAATAGGTGTGTGTGGTAGCGCACACCTGTAATCCCAGCAGCTGGGGAGGCTGAGGCAGAAATAGCATGCGTTCAAGCTCAGCCTGCACAGCTCAGCCACTTAGTGAGACCCTGTCTCAAAATAAAAAACAAACCAAACCAAACGGGCTGGGGCTGTGCAGCTCAGTGAGAAGGCGCCGGTTCAATCCCCAGGACCACATACACCCGAAACACTTTTTAGTTTTCACACAGGCTCCGGTATCACAGTTTTGGCTTCCAGACTCCCTTCTTTGGTGGTGCCGAGTGTGAAACGCGGGGCCTCGGCCATGCCGAGGTTAGTGTTCTACTGTTGAGCTACAGCCGGTGCTGACACCTTTTGAATTACCGTTGTGTGGTTTCATCACCTTGGGTGAGTAAGAGGAAGAAAACCCCACTGTATCCCTGTACTCTGGCTCAGTCATCAACACAGAGAACGTGCTCAAGGTGTGGGAGTCGCCCCTCACCCCAGTTCTGCACACTTGGCAGCAGCCGAGCAGCCTCTGACCCCTTTGGTTCTGACTCGCAAGCCCGGAGCTAGCTCAGATCCCCGGGTTTAATCTCAGTTCCCAAGCCAGATTCCCACTGTAGAATGCAAACAGACATAGCCGGGCTCTGTGGGCCATGCGGGTTCTGGGAGCCAGCGGCTGGGCTGCCCCTGAGGGCCTCCGTAGCGGCCCGTGCGCGTTCAAGAATCAGGCAATAAGACAAGCAACTGGAGGAAAAGCAACCCCAAATTCCTTTGTCGAAAGGACACTGTATCTCTTTTGCGGCCTTCCTGCTAAATATACATATATCCTGAATCTAACTATGAAGAGACATCACACCAACAAGGGACATTCTGGAATAAATGTGTATTTAAAAATGTATTTAAAAAATGCCAGTGACACAGACACTGAAAGAGCGCAGGAGACTGTTGCATTGCAGGGACTGGCGGCACAGGGCGCTTGAACATGCTGCAGGCAGCCCTGACGGATCTGGGCCTGGAAGGAGAAAACGTTCCTTTGGTTCTAAAGCACTTTTCCTAGACAGTTTCCATAAAATCTGCAGATTAGGAGATAGTGCTTGGTCTTTCTGACTTCGGTACCATTACTGTGGCTCTATGAAATGGTCTTGTTTTTAGGAATTAGGCACTTAAAATTTTGTGGGTAAGTGGCATTATGTCTGTACTTTACACTTAAATATTTCAATGTGGAAAAATAACTGTGCCTGGTTGCGTACCGCTGTAGTCCCAACACTGAGGAGGCTGAGTTCAAGTCCAGCCTGGGCTAGTTGCAAGGCCCAGGGCAGGGGTGGGTGGACATTTGAAGAATCTGAGTGAGTAAATACAGGAGTTCCTTATACTATTTTTGCAACTTTTTTGGTCTGAAATTATTTCAGAATTACAAAGAGAGTTTTAAAGAAAAGTTTCCTACATGGAACATGTTCTGATTTTGTAACAAGTGATCCTTTTGTGTAATTGTTAAATTTTCTTCATATACATCTTCATATTATTGACATTTGTTCCTAGGTTTGTGTTTTTTGGCATTGCATCTTGCTATGTAGTTCAGGCGGCCTTGAACTCACTGTGTAGCCCAGGCTGGGTTCCACCTCAGCACGTCTCCTGCTTCAGCCTCTGAGTTCTGGGATTACAGGTATGTGCCACCATGTCTGGCTATTCGTAGGTTTTAAAATACTTTTTGTTTTTCTGAATAAGTTCATTGTGGTATAATCTGTATACCTTATGCAGTTCACCCTGAATGTGTTGTATACGTTTTTAAAATACTAAGGGAGAAATTTTTCTTTTTTTGTACCAGGGATCGATCTTGGGACCTTGCGCTTGCCAGGCAGGTGCTTATGCCACTGAACTATATCCCCGGCCTCCAACGGAGGAATTTTTTTAAAAAATAAACTCTTATTAGTGATCCTCCTGTTTTCAGCCTCCCAGGTGCTGGGATTACAGGCACATGTCCCCATGCCCAGTCTCAGTCAGTCTCAGCACGCCCCAGGGGTGGGGCTGGCACATTAAGTTATAATTTACACATGATAAAATTCACATATTTTGTTTGATGACTGATATTCACACATTTTGACGTTGATGACTTTGGACACAAACATTCTGCCTGTAACCACCATTTCAAGCCAGATAGATACAAGACAGAATATTTTCTTTTGTCCAGAGTATTTCTTCATGCCCCTTTGTGAGGACGTTTAGCTGCTGGTGAGCACGGCGGCGGCATGGCAAGGGCTCTAGAGGGAGGGCAGGGAGAGTGGGTGGATGCCCGGCGAGTGGGTGGACTGGGGTCCTGCAGCAGGCCTGCCCGGCTGTGGGTCCGAGGGGCCCCGGGTACCAGCTCACGGTGCCTGAGGGCGAAGGCAGAGGCTGTTCCGGGCCTGTCCCTCCTCGTCAGGCTTTATTCTGGCTCAGAGGCCAGAGTGTGTGTGGTCTCCGCGTGTGCTTGTGAGCGCACCTCCGTGAGTAATGGAGGATGCTCTGCCCAGGTGCTGGCTGCCGTTTTCCTCTCTGACTTGACAGGTGTCCCGACTACCTCACCTTTTCCTGTTCGTGTGCTATGCTGACGAGAGGTTAGGAGGAAGTACACCCGGCAGGCTGCTGCCCTTTTAATGTAGCACATCTCCCATGCTGTTTAAAATGTCAGCGTAGGGCTGGTGAGATGGCTCAGTGGTCTAAAGCTCCTACTTAGAACAAGCTAAGCTAAGCAAAGCACAAGGACTGCGGTTCAGTCCCCCAGCCCCACATGCCAGCCAGCCCCGCCCCCTGGTGGGCTGAGCTGGCCACACACACACACACACACACACACACAAATAAATAAATAAATAAAATAAAAAAAATAAATAAAATAAAGCAAAGATGAATTAAAAAAAAAAATGTCAGCGTAGGGCCGGGGAGATGGCTCAGTGGAATAAGTGCTTCCCTGGCAAGCGCAAGGGCCTGAGTTCAATCCCCGGTTCCACAAATAAATAAATAAATAAATAAAAATAAACTATAAAAATAAAATGTCAGCGTAGTATCATCATCCTCGGACGGGAAGAGTTTACCTGAAGAAGTCTGTTTTGAAAAGAAATGAACAATTAAAAGAAAAAGAAGAAACAGAAAAGGTTTTTGAGAGAGAGGTTTTCTACATGTTGGTCAGTAAAGCTTTTGATTTGTACATCAGCCCTGTATTAACCAAACAGAGAGCAGCTTATGCTTGTATTCACCAAATTGTGGTCCACGCGCTGTCTCTTCCTCTACCTTCCATTTTCCCCCTTATTTTGTGATTTTCATTATTTGGAGTGGCAGTGGTGTAGGTTGTCAGCATCTACCAAGAAAGAGCTTGGGCTACACAGCAGTCAGAGTTGGGTGTGACCCCACCACTTGCCTCCAGTGAGCATCTGGAGGAACTGGTTCCGCTTGGGGCGCCTAACATTACCTTTACGTCGTGTGTGTGTGTGTGTGTGTGTGTGTGTGTGTGTAGTGTATTCATCCTTACACACCCACACGGAATGCTTGGAACAAGTGATTTCTGCATTTTTTTACCTTTCTGCCCAGATATGTTGCTTTTAAACAAAGCCTTTCCCCATTTTTTTTTTTTTGTTGTTGTTGTTGAAACAGTAATTTACTGAAATGTACTCATGACCTTGGATCCTCTTCTCTCTCCTCAGGCACATTGCAGACAGACCCTTCTGTCCTTCATGAGCGCTCGCGTGCTGGACAGATGACCATCCTCCGCCCTGTGCTGCTGTGAGGGGCCCAGACGTGGAGCTGTCCCACAGGAGAAGATGGACCCGAAAGACGAGAGCTCACACGTCTGGCCGCCGTCTGCAGAGCACGAACAGAACACCACCCAGGTGAAGGGCCCCCTTGCCCAGCTCACTGTTGCTGGCTGGGTGTTAAGTTGGGTAGTTTGCTAACTAAAGATACAGCAGCTATGGTAGTGAGTTGTTGGGAGGGAGCCACAGCGAGGGACCCATAGGTAAGCAGTGGGGAGTGTTCTGGCCCCATACTCCTTCCGTTGAGACAGGGCACTGAGTTCGAAGAGCTCATCCACCGCCTGTAGGCTTGGTTGCCCCCCCGTAGCTCACTGTCAAGAGTTCTTTGCTTCCCCGATTTACCTTCTGATACTACTTTACTTTTACTTCTTGGTGTCACAACGCTCAAGCTGTTGTGTGTTTCTTTTGTTATCTAGTACAGACAGGGCTTTGATTCTTTATAATGAAGGGTAAGGTATAGTGGCCTTTTCAGTTTAGAATGTGAACCTCCAAGTGCAAGTTGTTCATTCTGAGTCACTTATTCTCATGTTACTGTCATTGATCTCTGCCTTTTCAATCACTTTCAGAACAGTTGTGTAGATTTTGCTTTCTTTCAGCATTTTGGGGGGAAGATGAGGACTTCGTAATGAGTGACTTTATTGGGATTTTCTGTCTCTGCCTCCCCTGTGCAGAAGACTTGTGTCACCGTCGTTGACCCAGCAGATGTTTCTGCTGTGCTTCTGCTATGTCCTTAGAGCAAGAAAGGACTGATAGGAAGGAAAGTGACCTTCTGTGAATGTCTGCTGAAAAGCAGTTATGAAATAGGATTTTTATAATGTGCTGAGAGCAGTTGGTTTTTTTTTTCCCCATAATTTTATTGATAAACAAATAGCAATGAGACAGTTTCAAATCAAATCGGTAGGACAGTTTCAATAATTAACACACTGCATATATTCTTCTTAGTGGTTAAGTGCTGTACAAGATGCAGACTTGTGATCCTAGTTACAAACACCATTAGAACAAATCATTCTATTCATTAAGAGAACGTAACTATATATCTATCCCATCCACTTTGAATACACAGATACAAAATGGACATTCATCTGAATACCCTTTGAGCAGTTGGTTTTTGAGTCTTGATCTTTTATTCACATTGCAGAATAATTTTTATTTTGGCGACATTGTCAAGTAGGAATTTGTAAGCTCTTTTTCATGATAAGCTGCCCCTTACAACTCCCCAAAAGAGTTACCTACCTTAACAGTTGGGGCGGAAGAATTGAAGTCAGTTGCCTGACATAAGGCAGTAAAGCAGTGACAAGGGCCTTGCCTCTGTCTCCTAGTCTCTAACTCAGTGCACATGAAAGTGTGTCAAGCGCCATGCTTCTTTCATGGGGATGTTTTAGCAGTACAAGGGTGCTCAGCTGGGAGGGAGCCACGTGCTTTGTGAGACTGAGCTTGTTCATACTGCATACTTGTCTGCTTTTCACCCCCAGGTACACTTTGTTCCGGATGCTGGAACTGTGGCTCAGATTGTCTACACTGATGACCAGGTCCGCCCACCCCAGCAGGTGGTGTACACGGCAGATGGGGCCTCCTACACATCAGTGGACGGTCCAGAGCATACACTGGTGTACATCCACCCCGTGGAAGCCGCACAGGCACGTAAAGGGTTGTTTTAAATTTGATAATTAAGTAATTCACCAAGTGCTTGTCCGTCACCATGGAAGATGCTTGTGGTGCAGAAGTCATTCAGATAAGACTTCTCCCTCACGGAGCTCGGGCCTGGCACAAGACGGCTCATTTAACTTCAGTGCAGTACGAGTTAAGAGCACAAGCTTTGCATCAGCTCTCTCTGCAGTGGCCGCTGCCAGTTGTCGGTGGGTTGGTGTGACTGAGTATCGGGAACTGTGCGTTTCATTCCGTGCAGCTGAAGCACATGGGGCTCAGCAAAAGAAAATATTCAGATTATTTTAGTTAATATGTAAGTAAAGGGTCCTACCAGCTTACTGACCGCTGATTTGTATGACTGTAAAGGAAGACAAGGTATTTACTCTATATAATGCTAGCTTTTTAATATAATATTAATATAATATTCTATATAAATTTTATTTTTATTGTCAGTGACTTGGATTTTCCAAATGTGCAATGCAAATGTTTTCCGATATGCAAATATGCTTTTATGTTCTTGCTTAAGTCATATATTTTAAATTTATTTATTTTTGGGTGCCAGAGGTTGAACCCAGGGCCTCATGCATGTTAAACACTGAGCCATACCTCCAGCCCCAAAATATGTGTCTTTAAAAATTGTATTCCCTACTTTATAGTAAGATCCTGGTAATAAAATTTGCCTTGATACAATATTTAAATATTTACAATATTTAATCAAGAGGCTCAGATCATTTCTAAGAAGAAATGTGGTTCACCTAATCAATATATTTCTAATAAATGTAAAGATGAAATTGACAAATATATTTTTGGGAGTGCCTCTGCTTAGTTTTAGTTTTCTGTATGCAAAAAGTCTTTTATGCCCAACTTTAGTTAGTTATGATGTTGCTGTTTGAATTTTGATAATATTTTAAAGAATATTTTCTGGGTAGGATATGTGGATTTTTTTTTTTTTTTTTTTTCAGAACTGGGGATTGAACTCAGGCCCTTGTGCTTGCCAAGGAAGCGTTTAGGGAAGGGTCTACAGGGTGTTCAACGTCTCACTACTAGATCGGACTCATAGTGATCCTCCTATTTAGAGCCTCCCAAGAGCTGGGATTACAGGAACGCGCCACCACTCCCAGTCTCAATCGCCATCTCAGCGTGCCCCAGGGGCGGGGCCAGCATAGCAGGCCCGGGGCTCGAACCCCCAGCCCCCTGCGCCTGCCTGCAGGTGCTTTAATCTGCTGAGCTATTTGGCCAGCCCTGTTGTGGTTTAGAAAATTTTCCGTAGCTAGCTTTGCCTCCTTATGATCCCACTTATGTATTTGTCGCAATTAATTGATGATGATAATAATGATAACTTTACTGAATTAGTCAAAGAAGAACCCATGGGCTATTAAACCCAATATATGTTTCTTCTCTCTCTGATAATAAATGTGCGTATATATTTGAAAGAGCTGTAAACTTTATGTTTATAGTACTTTTCTATACGTCTGTTTGTCTCCATTTGTTTTCATTAAATCGCAGGTCTGTTCCTGTTAGTGGCTTCACAAGTGCATACCCTTGTTCATGTCGTTTATGTTTTCATGACATGCCTTTTGGTTAGCTGTGACATTTAACCTCAAGAAAAACCTTGCTTAAGGGTAAAAGTGAAATGATGTTAGCTGTTTGGGATGGTTTACTTATGCTGTCTCACTGCAGCCATCTGCATGAAAGGCTTTCGACAAAGATTATAATCTTTATCTTCTTTATTAATGAAGGATTACTAACCGTCAGGGGAGATAACTCTCCCAAGAGGTGGGAGTTGGTGCTTAGCAGTGGAATGATTTTTCCTATGTAGGCAAGCTGTCTAAAGCTCTGTTCATAATTGTTTTTCCCTCTAGACTCTGTTTACAGACCCAGGCCAGGTCACTTATGTCCAACAGGATGCTGCAGCTCAGCAGGTAATGAATTGCCTTCTTCCGATTCTATTGTTTGGGAATAGTAACTGGGATTGTCACGGTTCCCCGAAGTGTCCCTGTACCCCTCTGCCCTGTGCCATCTGCGGATGTTTATACCAAAAGTGTTCTCTAGGTCCTTCAATAGAAACCAAACAAAATATAACGTAAGTACTAATTCGTTTCACACAGTATATATTATAATAGCCTGGTAAAAAGTGATCTTTCAGGGAAGTTTGAAAAATAAGCATATATTACGAGGGAGGAAGATTGCTTGAGTAGTCCACCAGCTTGAGGCTAGCTTGGGAAACTTAGGGCCTATCTTCAAAGCAAAAGCAAACCATCAACAATGAATATAAGGAGAATATTGTTTTAAGTTTCAAAGAAACTTAAAATGGTCATGAGTTTTTACGTTTTTAATATTTGGAGTTATTTTGATGCTAGTTCTATTTTTATATGTTGAAAACTGCTTGAATTGTATATAAATCTGGTGGCAACCTTCCTCATTGTTCGGAGATACTAAGATTTTTGCTTTACAACATGTCTTTCTTTTACCTGTATTTCTAAAAAAAAAAATCTTATATATTTGCAGTATTAATACTAACAGTGATGGAACTATATTTTTTTAATTCCTAGTACCAAAAAATTCAAATTCATTTACCCATATTTCTAATATACGCTATTCGATTTTGTGGGGCTTCTTGTTCTCCATAAAGGTACGAGCAGGATAAAGAAGGTAGGTAGCTTGATATTATCTGTCTTACCTAAAGGGCATGTGAATTCCAATAGGTTTATTTTCAGGTCCACTGGTATAACTTTTATTATGTGTATAGCTGAGTGCTGTGAATAATTAATAATTAAATTGTATTGGGAATCACGATCAGCATTTTATTTTATTTCTTATTTGAACATTTATACACTAATAAAATGGGCTCTAAGGAGCCTTTGTTTTAAATTGAGGTTGAATTTATTCCTGACTAGCAGTGAACTGTAGTATTGTTGGGTCTGTGAACATGAATGCGCACTTCTGTGAACATTTATTGGTTCACTTAAGTAAGTAATAGATGATGATGATGATGATTATTCATGTATATTTATTGCAGATATGCTATTATTTATATTCTCCATCTATTATTTTACATGTAGGTTCTTTTTTTCTGTTTATTACATTTATTTATTTATTTATTTATTTTTGGCAGAACCGGGAATTGAACTCAAGCCCTTGTGCTTGCCAGGGATGTGCTTATTCCACTGAGCCATCACCCGGCCCTTTCTGTTCATTACTATAAGCAGCAATATCATGGATATTATACCTTGTTTCCTTAGGATAAATTCCCTGAAGAGAAAGAAAGAAGCAAGGGGGGAAAATATATATATATATTTATGTACAGGATAGCTGGGATAATTATCCTGCTGATTTCTGCTGGTCAATAGAAAGGAACAGTTAATGTTTCCATTTTTTAATTTAATTTTTGAATGTAGGGTCTAGAAGGTCTCACTACACAGATCAGACTCGTAGTGATCCTCCTGCTTTCAGCCTCCCAAGCGCTGGGAGTCCCGGTGCGCACCACCACGCCCAGTCTCAGTCACTGTCTCAGCTTGCACCGGGCCGTGGGCTGCAGGGCCTGTGATGCCAGGGATTGAACGCTGGCCTCTGCGCCTATGTGCAGGTGCTTTATCTGCTGAGCTATTTGGCTGGTCCTCTTTTTAATTTTTTAGAACCAATTTTGCATACTTATTCCTGGTAATCTGACCAACTAATTTTAAGACAACAATATGCAATATAGCAATCATTGATGAATTCCTATTATCTTGTCTAGTGAAATTCTGTATCATTTCTAATGTTTTTTAAAATTATTTTTTATTCACTTTAGAAAAATGAAAAACAGGCTGGGGAGATAGCTCAGCGGTTGAAGCACCTGCCTGCCAAGTGCAAGGATCCGGGTTCGATCCCCGGTACTGTATGGCGTGTGGGCTGTGGAACCTCAGGTGTGGTGAGCTGCCCACTGGAACCGGAACTGGTGGCGCACGCCTGTGATCCCAGCGCTGGGGAGGCTGGGACGGGAGGACCGCTGCGCTGCGCTGCATAGCGAGAGCCCATACCAAATGAATAACTACAGAAATAAAATATTTTTTAAAAAATTAA